GTAAGTATGCTTTTAATCTTATACGACCTTTTTTGAATAACAAATGAAACAACCCTATCCAATCTCTTCTTTTCCCGTGCAGAAACCTGTTTGCGAGTTCTTCACAGGACAATAATTTGTAAGTTTTTCTCTAATCTTTGAGTTGGCTTGTTGTTTGAATTGCCTAATGTTCTAATGACCATTGATCTTCTTGTTTTAGGAATGGAGCAGTTTCCTGTTTACCGAGCGCTTGTGGAAAAAGTGAGTTGAAATCTTGTTTTCGTAGTCTCATTTTTTGTTGGAGGGATAAGGTAAAAACTAGAAATTATATTAGATGGATTTCCTCTTCTATATGTAATGTGTGAATGCAAGGAGTAATGAGTGCAATCTACATCTGTCAGTGAACTCCCATATATTGATAAAACTAGATCATAATAGGCTAATAAGACTTCATAGCTATTAGGATCTGATGTTGCTATTTAGATTTGGCATTGATATGTTTAATAGACATTCTGCATGAATACATTAATCAGTTCTGTTCATTTAATTTATCTTCCAATCAAAACCAATATGGTGTTGTTCCTTGCAGCTTCATACACTCTCCATATCAACTGCGGTGGGAAGGAAGAAACAATTAACGGAACACCCAAATTTGATGCGGACACAAACACTGGAAAGTCGTCATTGTTTTCTCAAGGTGGAGAAAATTGGGGATTTAGCAACACTGGTAATTTTATGGACGATGATCGCACAACAGATGATTTTATCGCATTAAACTCATCTGCTCTCTCAATATCAAATCCTGAATTGTACATGAGGGCACGCATTTCTCCGATCTCTCTTACTTATTATGCATATTGCATGGGTAATGGAAACTACACAGTAAGCCTCCATTTTGCTGAGATAATGTTTACTGATGACAAATCATACAGAAGCCTTGGCAGACGCTTATTTGATGTCTACGTTCAGGTAATAGATACTGCGCTTCTACTTATGAAGAAATTATCTTATTCTTTGCCCCACTTCGAGATATCTTTGTGTAGATTTTTCTATATTGTTAGTTTCTGCTGGTATCAAACTTACCGATTACTTCGTTACCTTGAAATTCCTTGATGTATACCAATATTGCAGGGAAAGCTGGAGTTGAAGGATTTTAACATTGCAGATGCAGCAGGTGGTATTGGCAAACCTTTTGTAAAGAAATTCACAGTTTCTGTGACTAATGGTACTGTAGAGATCCGCCTATTTTGGGCTGGGAAGGGGTCAAATGCTATTCCTGTGCGAGGAGTTTACGGTCCTTTAATTTCCGCCATTGCTGTTGATCCTGGTAGGTAGACCCATTTTTTCACTTCAAGATCATCAGAGCCATTTCATCTATCCTGCTACCTTATCAAACCATTGGTTTGATGGAATTATTTCTCATTACTCCAAGCAGACTTTGATCCACCATCAGAGGATGGACATGCCATATCTGCTGGTACAGTGGGTGGAATTGTGGCTGCTGGGGTCTCTGTTATCATCTTGGTTCTTGGAGTGTTGTGGTGGATAGGATGTCAAAGAAAGACGGGCACACTTGAACAAGGTAATTTCAAAGCATGTGTCATGAGATCCTTATTGTTATTAATCGACTTTTTCAACCCGTCTTTCAGTTCTAACGTTAGCGATAGTTGCAAAGTCGTGGATATTAGTGAGATTACATATATTGATCAGTTTAACTTGTGTTGAATTGTACAAAGTTGACCATTAAAAAGCCTGTAACTTTCAGAGATTCCGTGCATACGAGATAATGCGAGGAATTATGGGGAACTAATTTAAATGTGCCTATTCTGCAGAGTTGAAGGGTCTAGATCTCGGAACAGGTTCGTTTTCATTAAGACAAATCAGAGCTGCCACTAACAATTTTGATGCTGCCAATAAGATTGGAGAAGGAGGTTTTGGTCCTGTTTACAAGGTCCCACTGGCGTGTCGATTTCGTTATTTCTTCTTTTCTTTCAAGGATTTTATTTTTTGGTGTGAAGTTTTATGCTTGAAAATGCAGGGCGTTCTTGCCGATGGCACCGTAATTGCAGTGAAGCAACTCTCTGCAAAATCAAAGCAAGGAAATCGTGAATTTGTTAATGAGATAGGGATGATATCTGCATTGCAGCACCCTCATCTAGTGAAGCTTTATGGATGTTGTATTGAAGGAAATCAACTTTTGCTTATATATGAGTATCTGGAAAACAATAGCCTTGCTCGTGCCTTATTCGGTAAAAATATTTCCGTACTACTATCGACTATTATTCTTCAGAATATTTTTTTCGTATATCGGTCATGACATTCGGTATTTCGTAGGACCCCAAGAATGTCAGCTGAAACTGGATTGGCCAACTAGGCAGAAGATTTGTGTTGGTATAGCCAGAGGTTTAGCATACCTTCACGAGGAGTCGAGACTTAAGATTGTTCACCGAGATATCAAAGCTACCAACGTTCTGCTCGATAAAAACCTCAACCCCAAGATTTCCGACTTCGGTTTGGCCAAGCTGGATGAAGAAGAAAATACACACATCAGCACCCGGGTTGCGGGAACCTTGTGAGTTGCCCTGGGAGAAAATTTCTTCCATTTTCTTTCCATGCTTTTACACAATATAGAGAAATGATAAAGGGAAAAGGTTTCTTGTCTGAATGATTGCGTGAGGGGAATGTTAGTTTGTTTTCTTTAAATTTAGTTTATTTGAAAAATGTACCATCCAAATATTCACCCCATCACACTGTTACTTTGCAGCGGGTATATGGCACCAGAATACGCCATGCGAGGCTACTTAACCGACAAGGCAGATGTTTACAGCTTTGGCATTGTGGCGTTGGAGATAGTCAGTGGTCGAAGTAACACAAGTTTCCGAACCAAGGATGATTGCTTTTACCTTCTTGACCATGTGAGTTAACTCCATCTTTTACTCCCCGTGCTTATCTATTGTGTTCTGTAGTATTTATCACACCGGAAGGTTGATTGCTTTTGTAACAACCCAAATCCACCGCTAGTAGATATTGTCCTCTTTCGACTTTCCCTTTCGAGCTTCCCCTCACTGTTTTTAAAATGCATCTACTAGGGAGAGAGGGAGAGGTTTTCACATCCTTATAAAGAATGTTTCATTCTCCTCTCCAACCAATGTGAGATATCACAATCCACCCCCCTTCGGGGCCTAGCATCCTCGCTGACACTCATTCCCTTTTCCAATCGATGTGGGGCCCCCCAATTCACCCCTTTTGGGGCCCAATGTCTTTGCTGGCACACCATCTCGTGTCTACCCCATTTGGGGCTTAGTCTTCTCGTTGGCACATCACCCGGTGTCTGGCTCTAATACACCATCTGTAACAGCCCAAGCCCATCGCTAGCAAATATTGTCCTCTTTAGGCTTTCCCTTCAAGGTTTTTAAAACGCGTCTACTAGGAGAGATTTTTATACCCTTATAAAGAATGCTTCATTCTCCTCCCCATCATGATTCTTATACTTGTAAATGAATCCCGGCATTAGTGCTAGCAAACTGAAACTATTATAACCTGTATTGTCAGGCCAATACTCTAAAAGAGAAAGACAGTTTATTAGAGCTTGTGGATCCACGGTTAGGTTCTGATTTCAACAAGAGAGAGGCAATAGCGATGATCAATATTGCTCTCCAATGCACAAACGTCATTGCTGGGGACAGACCTGCCATGTCCTCTGTGGTGAGCATGCTGGAAGGGAAGGTTGCCGTGAAGGAGTTGGTTTCAAATCCTAGTGTCTCTAAACAAGATGTGAATGCAATGTGGAGCCAAATTTATCGCCAGAAAGGGCAAACGACAGACGAGAGCCAGACGCAAAGTTCGACGATGGATGGACCATGGACTGGTTCTTCAACAAGTGCCAGTGATCTCTACCCCATCCTCATGGATTCTAAATACTTGGAGAATAGAAGCCAAGGTTGATATTACTTCGTCCTCAAAATCATTCTCTGCTTGCATCTTACTATGTTACCCTTCAAAACTTTGAATATATGCTTGTTTATTCTTTGTTTCTTGCTCTGCAAATGTTTTGTGTGGCAGTACCATCCCTAGTGGTCAATCTCTACCCAATTATTGTATATTTTACAGCTTAATTGTTTTATAGTGTTCAAAGGAATTTTGAGTTTGAAGTTTAAATGTTCGAAGCTAAACCATTTCGGTCTCTCGGTTTCTAAAGGGGTCGGTTTTGTCTTTCATCCCTTCACAAATTCAAAGTTTGCCTTCGTCGAGAGAAAAAAAAAAAAATGATATACTATTAACCAAGAGATTAGAAGTTTAAATTTCTAACCTTACAAGTTACCGAACTTAAGAACTTGTTCAATTATTTTCATGAAGTTGACTGATTCATTCATATAATACTCGTTTACGGCTTATCAAACCTCCATCTCTACTTGACTAAGCTAAGAAACCATTAAAAATGACACGAAATCACAGACGGAAGTAACAAAGATCGCTACTCATATGGGTTAACTCTAAGAATCAAGGAGTATTACGTTTTACTCTGAGTAAAATACGTATTCATTTTCTATATTATTCATTTCTAATTTTCTCACCATACAAAGGGTAAATTTGGAAATGCCTCCAAATTACATTTTAGGAAGATTAACCGTGTATAATACAATATCTAAAGGTTTAAAATAATTACAGAAGTTCATGATAGTAAATATAAATATCGATTTTTCTTAAATAAAAAGATTATTTACAAATATAATTAGTATCGAAAACAAAACTCATTCTCTATCTCTATCAACACTATTCTCGTGCCATTTCTCGTCTTTGTAAAAATTTTCATTTCATTTCATCGGTCCGTCCTCATTTATATTTAAACAGTAAAAAAAATATACATTATATACTTTTAATTTTAGGAGATTTTTGGTTAAATTTCAACGCAAATTCTATTACCAACATTAAGAACGAAAATACGTTAGATTTGGCTGTCGCTTCCCAAATTTCACAACTAAAACAAACTATAATTTTTCCATATAATCACTTTTTAAAACGTCCCTACAATCACCTCCCTCCTCCAAATCCACCAATCCCACCCTCTCCGCCGCAAATTTCATCATCCCCTTCCCTCCGCCCACTCTCTGCTATGTTTGTGGTTCGATTCCTCGCCGTCTTTTTTCTCTTCTCTCTCGCTTCCGCCGCCGCTCGGCTGCCGGACGACGAAGGTACGACGAAGCCGCTACTGTATTTCGAATCGGATTTTGATTTTGATTTTGATTTTGATTATATGTATCAGTTGAGGCGCTGAGGAAAATCGGAAAGACATTGGGGAAGACGGACTGGAATTTCTCGGCGGATCCATGCGGCGGTTTGAGTAGCGGTTGGGTATCGGCTTCCTTCGAAACTGGTTATTATAATAACGTCACCTGCAATTGCACCTTCCACGCTCATACCGTCTGCCACGTCACCGGCATGTATGTTCCTCCTCACCCAATTATTTCCTTTAAACTTTTTTTTTTCATAATCAATTTCTATAAAATAAATAAATAAATTAATTAATTAAAAAATTATTAAATCTAAGTATTACCGGACAACAAACGTGAAACCACGTTCGTTGAAGAGGAGAACAAAACATTTTTTTATAATAGCGTGCAAACCTCTTCCTAGTTTAAGCATTTTAAAACGTGAAGTTAACCGCTATAGATAATGGGCTAAAGCTGACAATATCTCGAGACTTGAGCTTTACCAGTTTATTTGTTCCTCGACATTTTTATATTTTTATTAAATTTTGGATTTTATCCATTAATTTCAAATTATAATAATTATATTAATTTAACTTTAAATTTTTATAATTGAACCCGTAAACTCGAATAAAAATTTTATTTTTTGAAAAAATTATTACCTAATTTTCTATTCAGTATTTCTCTATATAATATTATGTTAATTTATGAATTAAAAAATTATTATTATTATTATTTAAAGATAAAATTATCATTTATTAAAATTAAACAGGTCTCAAAATAGTATTTTAACAAAAAAAAATGTATATATATATATTTAAAACAATTTGATATATCTTTTATGTTTTTTTTAATAATAATTTCGTAATAAAACGATAAACAAATTATTTATTTATTTATTTAAATATATCATATATTGTTAATTAAAACACCATAATTGCTTAGAGAAGTATTTAAGCGGATGGTGCCACGTGGAATTTTTAAATAATAATAAAAAAATATATTATATAAACGAGTTTCTTTTTTGTCGTTAATTTATTTTTTGGCGCCCTCGGTGGCATGGCGTTGCAGTCGTCTAAGGGCGCAGAGCCTTCCGGGTACTCTGCCGCCGGAAATAGCGAGGCTGCCTTTCTTGCAGGAACTGTGAGCACTTTTTTTCATTGCTTAATTCATTTGTCTCACATTCACTCTCGTGTGCTTGATTATTAATGAAATTCCTCATGATCATTCACTCGTTTATTCTCTCTGTTAATTCAGCGATCTTTCCCGCAACTATCTCAGCGGCCCGATTCCTCCAGAATGGGGTTCCACCAAGCTTGCCAACATGTATTGTCAATCCTTAAAGATTTCTATAATGAATTCAGGAAGTGGATTATATGGCTTATGTGTATGGGTGATTTTGCAGCTCTCTTCTTGGAAATCGATTGTCGGGTCCAATCCCAAAAGAGTTGGGAAACATCAGCACGCTTCTAGAGTTGTATGTTCTGATCATCCTATTGTTTATGTCTCAATTTTGGGTATTTGATGCGTTGGTTGAGACTAATGTTACTGGTTTGGTCGCGTAGGGTCATTGAAGTTAATAATTTTTCTGGAAGTCTACCTCCAGAACTTGGAAATTTGACCAATTTATCAAGATTGTGAGACCCTTCAACCCTCATGTTTGAGTTTTTTTTTCATTTTCTTTCAAGTAATTGTTTTAAACTGTCTCTAGTTAGAATGATTTAGGCATTAAGGAGAGCTTTCTGATGATCATTCCTTTACCATTGTTTGTTGTAATCCAGACTTCTCACCTCAAACAACTTTTCTGGGGAGCTCCCATCTACCCTGGGAAGTATAACCACTATGACGGACTTGTAAGCTTATGAAACCTTCTTCAACCCTTCATTTCGTTAATCCAATTTTGAGAGAAGGAATGAATAATTAAACAAACCTTCTCTTTGTTATGATGCAGTCGAGTTAGTGATAATCACTTCACAGGGTCAATACCTAAGTATATTGAGAATTGGCCGAAACTTATAAAACTGTGAGAAATTTCCTCTAATTCAGCTACTCTCAAGTATTCTTGGTTGCTAGTGTATTAGCTCTCACTCAACTAATTTAATCGTGACAGAGCTATTCAGGCAAGCGGGTTGAGTGGGCCAATTCCTTCTGGAATTGGACGTTTGACACGACTAAATGATGTGTTAGTTTGCTTCACATTCCTTATGGTTTTGTAAGTTAAAGTACTGTGTGTTTCTATTTATTCATATTTGAGTTGCAAAATGCAGGAGAATCAGTGACTTGAACGGAGATCCATCACCCCTTCCACCCATTAATACTTTAACAAATTTGAAAACCCTGTAAGTTAATCTCTCTGTGAAAACTTGAGATTTCCGTGTACTTAATCCAGCTATTAATTAATTTCTAGTTGTCTATAGGATATTGAGGAGTTGCAATATAAATGGGACGCTGCCCGAAAGTTTTGAGGGGCTGCAAAACGTGCAAACCATGTCAGTACAATTTTACTCTCTACTCCATCTTGATGCTACATCATGATTAATCAAAGTCTGATGAATTTTTGGAAGATAGTTTAAATTTCTTGTAATGGAATACTGCATTACCCAAACCTTTTGCATTACCACCACTACACAGCAGGGTTATAGAGACTAATGCCTTCTTTACCATAGCATTGTTTTATCATTAACTAGGAGATTTTTATTAGTTAAAAGGAATTGATATACATTTCCAAAGGAATGGCAAGTTCTCTCTGAAAGTGAAAGAAAAGTTACTGTGGTGCCCCAGATTGAACAAACTGACAAAAGTTATGAATCTGTCATAGTCTTTTACATTAATACTCCAATACTAAAACCTTCACTCATCCCTTTGTTATGCCAGGTCCATAATGATGTAAAGATTGCACACTTGTCGAGTAGTTTTTTCTCCCCCCCCCCCCCCCCCCCCCCCC